CGTGAAAATTTTGTTCCAGTAAGTTGCTAACTCAGGGGCCACGGAAGCTAGAAAGTTGAAATTTTAAGAGGATGTTTCCTGACAGTTCTGGTGGCCAGTCTTAGTTTGTTTAGCTGAAAGCATTTGCCGAAAAAACCGGTGCCGGTAGCAACAAAAACTGCGGGGAACCATGCAAAAAACGCATCTTCGCACTAACCGGTGCCGGTAGCAACAAAAACTGCGGGGAACCATGCAAAAAACGCATCTTCGCACGGGCAGCTCGTGCAACAAAAACTGCGGGGAACCATGCAAAAAACGCATCTTCGCACGGGTAGCCCGTGCGTTGGCCAGTTATTTTCTTTTTGAGGCTTAAAAATGAATGATTTTGCTTGGCATGACCAAAATGCTTGGTAAAGTTTTGGAAGACCAGCCTTTGTAAGATTTATTTTTCTTATATTTCGGTACTGCCATGCGTTTTGCTCTAGAAGGTGATGTGTTGTGTAGTGCCGCGATTACTTTTCAGACACATTAAGGAGCATCTCGATGGTAAAGTTGATCCGACAGCCAATATGACACCTGAACAGTTGCAGTTCCACTATTTCAACATGCATGATGTGGACAGGAATGGTTTATTGGATGGGATCGAGTTGATCAAAGCAATCACGCACTTCCACGATGGTATGTTTGGCTCGCCATTCGCACATCCTCCGAAAACATTCTGCACCTATGTAGGTGGGAACGGTGTGCATCAACAGCCGATAGCTTCAGCTTTCGTGTCACCGTCTTGTAAGTGATTTTCAACCGTTCCCACCAATAGCTCAAGATTTTCTAGTCAGCGCCCAGTGAATGGTATGTTTTGTAACACACTTCCTGTGTTCGTGCCCGAGGAAATTGTGTAGGAAACGATTTCATCTATACGCCCCCTAGATCTTCAAATCCTAAAAAAATCTTGCATTCCCCGCGCCTCACCAAATCCCAAAAATTCTGGGATTACTTTACATTCCTTACGGTGTTTATAATTTTACGAATTACTGTCGCATTGCAGTTGCTACCTTTCCTTGTTTAATTTTTCGATGCGATAGGAAGCGTGCCACATCCAGCGAATTTAACGTTTTCTGTAGGAAGTACATTTCTAATTTTGATCTTCCTAATTATCGCGTCCGTACATTCGCTGAGTGAATCTCTCAGTGCCTGTGCAACAAAGCCATTTATATTCCAGAAAATCCTGATCCACAGCAGCCAGGC